GTACAAAGATCTCACGTTGTTCAGAAATTGTGCCTCAAGTCTTCAGACCACACCATTATTTTTTTCACCACACCAACTAAAGAAAGAAAAATACTAATTGCATTTTTCTAGCCTATATTTCTCTTAAATATTCTCTCGTTTAACTATCAACAGAAGTCTAACTCTTTGTTTCTAGCTCTCTGCACCTCACTTGCACTCTCGCAATCTTTCATCCGCTATGCTACTCTATTCTTACACTAGTGCTTGGCTCCATCAATTGATTATAATATGTCAAAGGATGGATTCTGCGTCTAAAATTGGCCATTGCTTTTTCCAATGCCCACGCACTATTTACAGTAAATGCCTCGACAAAATTTGCACCTACCCAATCTTGTAAGAAAAGAAACCATTGGAAGACTTTTGCATGTGAACCCCATAATCATCATTAGGCTCCACTATTCAACATCAACCTAGTTCTGTTTCATTATAGTATTTTTGGTTTGCGACAGGTTTCTTCATAAAGCATTGCTTGCACCTGATGGTTGGGAGGAAGAAGGGAAAGTTTGTAGTATCACTGAGATTGAAGAGGCAAAGGCAGTTCTTAGGCTTGTTCCAATATGGACTACGTGTTTAGGATAAGCAATTGTATATTCACAATCCTCGACTTTATTCACCAAGCAAGGAGTTACAATGGATCGCCATGTCACGTCTAGCCTACAATTACCAGCTGCTTCCTTTCAATCTTTTGTCAGTGTCGGCGTTGTTGTCTTTATTCCAATCTATGACCGTATTGTGGTTCCAATTGCAAGATCCATAACTGGGAAACCTGCTGGCATAACAATGCTTCAACGAATTGGAACTGGAATAGTTTTATCTATTCTTTCCATGGTAATTGCAGCTTCAGTTGAGAGGAAACGTCTGAAAACTGCTGTTGAATATGGACTGGTGGATCTGCCAAAGGCAACAGTGCCAATGAGTGTGTGGTGGCTACTACCTCAGTACTTGCTTTATGGAATCGCAGATGTATTTACCTTGATCGGGCTCCAAGAATTCTTCTATGACCAGGTTCCTAAAGAACTGAAAAGTGTTGGTCTTGCTCTATACCTCAGTATATTTGGCATAGGAAGCTTCTTGAGCAGCCTTCTTATCTCTACGGTTGAGAAAGCCACCAGTGGCCCAGGTCGAGATGGTTGGTTTTCAGACAATCTTAATCGGGCTCATCTCGACTACTTCTATTGGCTACTTGCCGGTCTTAGTGCTTCTGCTTTCGCTGCCTACTTGTATTTTGCAAAATCTTATATCTACAATCGAAGAAAGAGCCTTTGAAGTTGCATGGTAACAGTACCTGGACAAATATGGCTAGTAGAAGAGCAGTATTTTGCAAGACAAATATGGCTAGTAGAAGAGCAGTATTTTGTAAGACAATGAACTAAAAATTTCTTGTTTGCTTATATATCTCAAGCAGTTGTTTTAAATAAATAAATGCAAACCTTGCACACTGATTATAAAGATTTGTTTCCCTTGCTTCTAGCACAAACTTTTGAGGTTATACATGTGAGGACATGTTGTCATTGATGAACTTAGTTTTCCACATGCCAAAGAATGAAATATTGTTATTTATTGAAAACATTACGCTCTTACTGAAAAACTAGGTTGGTAAGGGAAGGCCGTATTAAACTCATCCTCGATTAGACTTTACAAAAATGATGCCCTATTCACTGTAATATTAGAGAGGAATTTTCTTAAAGAGCATCTATTTTTGCTTATGTGACATAATTTTTAAGCAATCCACAATTGTATTGAAGATCGTCACGAAATTTTTAATGCATTTTAATTCATTGGACAATTAATCAAGTACATGCCACCTATGTCGATGATGTCCAAACAAATATCTATATTCCATTTGAAGTGTACCTTTTGGAATATCTATATGCCAGTGAGGGTAGCCCCAATGGGAACCTCCAGCAGTTAGCAAATTCAAATTAAACCTAGATGCAAGAGAAGAGCCCGTGATTCAAAATATGAACTTTTGAGGTATAAAACAGATTTTAAAATGGACGAATGTCAAATATGATGTTGTCAACAATTATGGTACATGACTTCTCTATATTCCGTCGTGTATACATCGTGGATAAAATGCTGTTTTTAGTCAATCGTGATTGCCCTTAGAACCCTGATAAACATTCATTAGAGTGACTGTGCTGATTGAAAAAACTATTGAAGTTGACGATGACTTGTCTGAAACAAAATCAATACTTCAAAATTTGTATTT